CCACAGCTACTGATTGATTTTTTTCTACACGAACAAGCGAATTAAGACATCAATTGCCTACTCACTTGAACTTGAGATCAAATTAGAAGTGCGACCACCGCACGTATAGGACAAACACTCTCTTGGAATATTCTTATAACTTTTGAGGTTTTGCAAAACCAGAGAGACGTTTATCATTCGCTCAGGTCAAGTACGAAACAATGACTGTAGTGTGCATCTGTCGACAAGTATTGTATTCCGGTACAAACTGTACAACATTACAAATGAGACTAATTGAAGTGTAAAATCGTACTGCACGTCGGGGTTGTTCAGAGACTCGTGAATTGGACCTTTTGTTGTCGCATTGAGTGGCAGCGGATCAAGTACCATGACGGCTTAATGTAGACTAGGGCTCTAAATGAGATGTCACTTGCTACTGTGCCGCTACGTATGGTTCTATGGGGCACCTCATTACCAGATGCAGCAACAATGCGATTGTGTGCTCAGACAACTTCCACTAGCAGCGTACATATGAAAATTCACAATACTAGGCTGGTGGGCCGCTCCACCTCTCTTGACCTTTACCTTCATATAGATATTCCGCTACGCTGTTGAGACTTTGCGGCAATGTCGTATGTACGCCACCGGCCTTTCGTATGGGAAAAGTGATTCCAATCGGTGACACAAGACTCAGTATGACGTATAATACAATCACGATCGTTGGCATCTGGCCTACACTATGCGAGCGATTGTACCATTACAATTTCAGGAGTATTTAGGTCGAGGTTTCTCGTCTAACACGACGTAAATTTATGCGACCAGCGCCACAATTTTACGCGACTTATATTTTGTATAGAATACCGAGTTTTCATGGTTATGTCGCAGGCGTAAATCCCTCGGCTTTAACGCAAAGATTATAGTCAAGCGATTTCTTTTTCGAGAAGCGTCTTCATGTCAAGTTGAACTGATGGGGCTTACAAAACCATCTGCAAGACTTTGCACGACATGGTGATCCTGTCTTATCACCGTGGACTTATGCACACATAATGATGAGGTATCGTTGTACTGAGAGTAGACGTGCAGATCGCGCCTAATTTATTGAAATCTTTTACGTAAGTTCGGGCTGTAAAGTTAGTTTGTAGAGGTCGAAATGTTTGACTGGGCAGCACCTTGGTATTTAATTAAATTTCAAAAGAAACAATTCGTTGTCATTTATCCAAACCCCTAAATTACCGCCCATCCAGCCTGGATAAACATGCCATTTGCATCCTCGTCGTACCTGTCACTTTGCGATGACTCTAAATGGCTTGACAAGTGATGTATTGTCAAACTTGGCGACGCCACCGATGCCTTAACACCTTAAAGAGGTCAAACTTATCGATATCGACTATATCTAACAACAGAAACAAATATGTGTTTCAGGCTTTCTGTTGGCAATACCGCTGGCGAGACAAGGTTGCTTTTCTCCATCCGTGTCAAGGTAATGTAAATGAAACCAGCGATCATGGCATCGTTATCAACCTCCTTTGGAGCTATATGAGCATAACACTGACGGCTCACTGACCGAATGTCGAGCTCACACTTTCGTCTGGGTTTCGTCGAAATTACCTAGATAGGCAAAGTCTATCCGCGTGGCGTAAAAGCTAATCCCACCCATTAACGGCAATTGTAGATGTAGACATGGTCACTCGCCGTAGCACAGATGCTATCAGGTGTGACAGGGTATCTTTGCGTGCACTGATGACAAACGAAGCAGTCTACACGTGTACAATGTAAACAGGAGCTCGAAATCTCGCTTTTATTGTCGTGTAGAGGAGGCATATCTGATGCGATAACGCGTAGTAGAATGGATAAAGAGACTGTTGTTATATCACGAAGACATTCTATGTCGTCTCATGTAACATCACCATGTCTCACACTATCAAACATGCGTATGACTACCTGCTCATCACTCATTGCACGCATCTAATATTGGTAGGTAAAGTTGGTTAGCTGATAAAATGGCCTTTACTAGCTTAAAACAGTCCAGTGTGTTGTTACATGCTGCCGTATACCACCTTACCAGGTAACTTCTCTCATATTGCCTACACAGGTACTCTTCTGTCCTGTGTAGATCGTAGCATCAAGATAAACTAAGGAGTATGCTTGTTGAGGCACTTTTGCGGGCACGATCCTTTTGGCTTGTACAACACACGTATTCTAATTGGAAATAATGAACTCACTTACACAAAGACCCACTCTGCCATAACCAGTCAAATGCTCTACGCTTCCGAACAAAGCGACGAGCATGAACTTCGACGCTAGCTGACAGTCTATATGGCTCACAAGTTGCCGCGTCTATAAGTTGAATCTGCGCTCACAAGATCACTCAGGTACGATGAGCACCATCTGTGGGGGGACTTGAAGCTGGCCCTACAAGTTGCACTGTAGATCAACAGCATACGCATCGCAGTTCTAGATATGTATTCTAACAACGGGTCCTTATTCTCGTTTGCTACAACCGTATACAGAAGCCGACTTCGCGATTTTGATCGCCGGCGTCCACACCCGCAGGTGGTTTGATTACTGAATATCAATAGCTGAAGCAGACCGTAAAGGCTCTGTCGACAACAGAAGTCAAATGGACGCCTTCTACGGCTTTTAGTAAGACCGATGTAGAAATAGCTACATGATCATCTAGATTGGTACAGGTCAAGTCAGCAGTCGAATTGCAAATCTTGCCAATCTGCAACAAGGCAGTAATCAACATATCGACAGTGCAACAAGTCATCTGTAAGAGCACGTCGATATTGAGCTAAGCTTTTGCGCGACTGCTTGGACAAGGAAACGGTGTTGACGACCGTACGAACGGATGGTCGTGGTAGCATCTCATCCGACTGTTGATTTCGTCAACATGACGCGTGCAAGCATTGCAAGAAGCCATTATGTCCATAAATATGTGGGAGCATTAAGGGTGTCGAAACTTTGTCGTATCCTAACTCGAATATATCTGGCGCGTCTCGACACAAGACGCACCTGCATAGTCATGTTCCAAGGGTCTAGAAGGAACTGTTGGACCATGTGTACGATTGAAGGACATGTAGGACTCATCAGGAACAATGGAAGTGTCGCCAGTCCGTGGGTACCAAACAAAGTAAAAAAGTATAAACGCCTATATGCAGTATATATTCCCTTTTTCGAATCCAACCTGCGCAGCAGACCTGTTTTCCTACAATGGTACCATTGTATTGTTAGCCTGCTGCTCCCAAAACTTCAAGGTAACGTTAGACATGTCAGATGAAAGCGCATCGACAAGAAGGTCTATGTGTAGCGACGAGATGGTGCAATTGGAGGTCGCATGTATGAGTCCTGTACGAATGAATCAGTTCACGTCAGGTCACGACCGAACTCGTGACCTGTAGATTGTAGAATCTGTGTATGATGTATGTCGCTTAGCGACATGCATTAAGCGTCCGTTGTGGAGTACAGCGCACTTTACGAAGGACTGGTCGCCCTATTCGCAGCTTGGATAACGATCATCCGTTGTTCCTTCAAGATTCTGTACCAAGAAGAGTGCAGTCGTAGTCCGACAAGAACATGACTGCGGTCAAGACTCTTTGCTCGCATCAGACGTTGTAGCGGTACAAAGCAGCTGCTTATTAGTAGCTCGCTGTACACCCACCGATTCGAGTGCGTGTATTTGAGGCCGCCTTCGCTCAACGTGAGGTCGGAGCAGAAAGGTCGGCGGTAAATTGATCCTCAACATAAGTTTACGATCAATTACAAGCGATTTGGATCGGCATCCCTGGCATCGTCAGCTCAATCAGACGAACTGTTGTTGACTAGGTAGATCGCGAGTGTTCATGAATACGACGGGCACGTCGGATGTTGGAAGCTCAGTGTGTCCCACTTTGGCAGAACATGAGGCGAGTGAATGTTACCTTGAGGTACAGTCTCGGTGGGGACTTGTCATGCTGATTGCCAGGTGGAAATGTATGGTAACGCGTGTGTATAGTTTCGTTACTTGTTAATAAGTACAACTAGCAGCCGAAGAAGCATGGACATCACCCCAGCACATGCGAAGTAAGGACCTTCATCAATTCATTACATCGATCTTTGCCTATTGTAATAGCTTTGCGTATGTACTGAAAGAAGTGCTCTCAGCGAATACACCGAACGGCGTATGGCGTGCTCACGTTATAGCAACCAGGATCTGTTCACAGTGTCTGTGAGTGGCGATGTCTTGTGTCATGAACACTTGACAATATGTGGTGCAAGTGGATGACACGGTCGCGAGGATATGATCGTCGCCACAAAAAATGCGCTAGTGAAGCCTCGTGCCGATGGTGCTTTGACTTCTCACACGAGGAAGCAGGACCCGTCGTGGTGTGCTGCGAACTTCCTAATCTTACCCCCGTCAGCTTTGCTTCTGTATGACAGACACCACAGCACGATTGAAGCGATGTGCGTCGAATACCACGGAATGGTACCACAGCCAGAGCATACAACACGGTCGCTACCAGATACACAGACGCTTCTATCCTCGGCAAACGTAGCACAATGGTGCGAAACGCGTGGATAGTACAATAGCTTATCATCCCACCATCGTTGCAAATCCATCACTAGAGTAGCAGACACTACGCATAGCGCTGTTCGAGTTGCTGCCGTGAGCCGCTATCGTTCAAGTTGTGCTTCCTGTTGGCCTGTGCAAACCATTGAGATGTCCAGACGTCATAAAAGACACAACTAAACAAGTAGAACGCATTGTAACGGACAATCGAAAGTGATTCAATACGATACGTAGCTATGAATCCATCGAGGAGCCTTGTGAGGACTGCGAAGTGCACAAGAAACACAAAAAGTTGCTCAACGCTTTGTCATTTGTCAAGTCAGGTAGACCGACCAACACTACGTTAACATGCACGTCTGCTGAACCGACAACGAACGAACGTGTCGTGTCAGCGGACCGAATCTCGTGGTGTACACCCGCGCTGTGGGACGCACGTGATCGGGTGTGATCCAGTGGGGCGGGGAAACTGTGCTCACTGCTTCGTGTATATATCCGATTCTAACTCCAGGTACACTGTGCTGTGTGATCCCTTGCAGCCACCACGGGCCGACCGGTTTCCAGCATCCGTCGTCGACTGCTGCTCCGAGCTTGAGATCCGTAGCAATGGAGTCAATAGCGCACAGGCCAAGATAATGATGCCCATGTATAGCAGCCCAGGACTGTATCCGTCCGTGCCGCGGAAAATAATGCCATACATCACGCCGCCCAAGTTGCCACCAGCACCGACTAATCCATTCACAGTGCCAGTGTGCTGTTCGCTCAAGTAGGGCACAATGCCGTAGGTAGAGCCACCTGTTGCTTGTGCTGCAATGGCGACAAGCACGTAGAGCGCAATGCAAGCTCCGAGCGACTCGAGTTGACTCAATGTGATCACGAGCAACCCCAACGTGCACAAGAGCGCAAACTGTACGCGCTTGCGGCCCGCCATGCCAAGTCGGGAGTTCACACGGTCCGATGCCAAGCCACCGAGCGCGCGAGCAAAGATGTTCATGAGTCCAAACGACGATGCCACAGTCGCAGCAGTGGTCGTCGACAGCATGTAACATAGCTTGCTGTCCGCTGGTAGACACCCTTCTTGAGGAAACTGCGTGTGAAAGTACAGAGCGCCCATGTTGTTCAGCTGCAGTTCCGTGCCAAAGGCAGCTGCGTACTGAGCAATCATGACGAGGACATTGACGTCGGTCAAGACGATCTTGAACGACTGCAGCATGGACATGGCCGGCTTGGACTCGCACTGGTCGCCTCCAGATTTTGGTGTCACGGGACGCATCGCCGTCAAGCTCCCGCTGACGCTCGTTCGAGCCGCAGTGCCTTTGCTGCTGTCTTGTTCCGCCCGTCGCTTCATCTTCATGAGCTCTTGGAAATCGCCAGTGGGACAGCTGTCCACGGCGAAGCGGATGACCGTTCCCATGATGACCATAAGCACTGCCGGCAGCGCAATCGTGAGTCGCCAGGCAAGATCGGCCGACACACGATCTCCATGAATCATAGCTTCGTAAATGAATGGCAGCACGAGGAACGCAAAGCCAATGCCCGAGACACCGAGGCCGCCGGTAACAGCGTTGGCCGTGCCCGCAACGTTGCGGGCAAAGGTGATGGTGGTCCAGTATTGGCTCGAGACAAAGACGCAGCCCACGAGGCCAATGAAGAACCGCACGAGCACTAAGCTCGTGGCTGAGCTCACAAAAGCGGCACAGATGACGGGAATAGCACCGACCCAGAGCACAGTGCTCTGCACGACTTGCGGGCCGTAGCGATCGAGCACTGGGCCCGATGCAATGCGGGACAAGATGGTACTGGCAGTACTGGCAATGTCCGAGTTCAGCACTTGGCCGTCTGTCAGGTGCAGCTGCGTCTTGATCACGGGCATGAGCGGCGGGATGGCGTACCACCCGAAGAAACCCGTGATGGCCGACAGCCACGAGAGGTAAAAGATGCGCATGTGCGGTCGGAGCCAACTCGTGGGCTTGAGAATGGTCGCGCGGTCAAACTGATGGGCGTCCACGGGCAAGTCGTACTTGGCACGAGTATCGTCGTCGTCGTCGTCAACGCACGCGTACGCACTGTGTCGCGGCGTCAGTGTCGGAGACGGCAGGTTGCACCCCTCGCGGCCGTGTGGCGTGAGCGGCAGTGACATTGCTGGGGGCGAGCCGTGCATGAAAGTGCCTATTGCTAATGTACACTATGGACTTTGTTGGTGTGTTCGTTGTTAACGGGAGTGACTGGCGACTGGAAATAAGTCGGTCAAGTGATTGCGGGTGGGTGGACGATCGCTCAATGGCCGGCCGAGTCGGTAGTACGGGGTAAAAAGCAGAATGACTGAGCGAGAGAGACACTCGATTGCCATCAAGTCGCCGAGAGAGAAAGAGGCTGCCGCGCAAGTGTATTTTTAGCGCTTCTTTTCGGTCAGTCGCGTAATTGAAGTAGTCTATAAGTCGCAGGAGATGCTGGCGAGGCGGCGTCGCTAGTGGTACGGCGTGGTCCGGTCTAAGGGCGAATCTGTTTCCGCTCGAGCTGCTGCGACCGATCCACGCGACACCAGACGGGCGGCCGTTTGAAGCCCCGTCGTCTGCCTCGTCACTTGTCATGTCCCGGGTCGGTGCGGCCATTGATCCGCGACGACTGCACGACCATCTGGCTCGAAACGCGAGCAAAAGGCCGCGAAGGTACGCGCGGCGCCTGAACAAAGCACCAGTGAGGGCTGAGATGTGCTCGGCACGGGTCAGCGCTGCAATTTTTCGTGTGCTATTGCTGTTACGCCGGAGAGAGAGAGAGAGAGAGCGACACACACATGCACACAAACTCGTGTGGTTGTTGCTGTGGCCGTGCGTGGATGACACAGATGCAGTCCATTCTCGTGTTGAAGTGCAGTGCAACCCGTCGGGCACGCACGCCAAATCGTCTGAGTTGTGCACCAGAATGAACACACGCACGTTGCAGTGGAGAGCGAGAGGAGAACGTGCTTGGGCCTCAAACAGATCGAATCGTGCAGCCGGTGGGTGGGGGAATCTCCGGACATGCGGCTTTTTCCGAGACCTGACATGCCGAACAACGTCACCCACTTCTTCGGATCAGGCAGCAACTTCCACGTCTATGCTCGATGCACAGCGAGGAAGCAGCAGCAATTTCTCATGGGTGGGCGGTATGGCCGTTCCACTTGGCTTTCCACGCCGTCGTGTCTTTGACTGGTGATGGGGAAGACACGAGCAAAATGCAACGATCGGTTACGCTGGCTCCAGCCACAGTATCCAGCAAATTACCACGCGGCAACGCGATCTCACACTCTGCCAGCGTTTGCTTGTCGTCGTCGCTTTCCCAACACTCCAGACACCTCCGGTTCACACGCCACTCCGTCTCTCGCAATGCCCGCGAGTAATTAGCTCACGCAGCCAGGACGGGCTACTGGTGGACAGGGCTGGACCTCGCAATCGCTACTGCAACTAGCTAGCTCACCATCTACTCTCGAATCTAGTTCAGCTTTTTTGCTGCTCAACTGTTGAGGCCGCCACTAGTACAGACCACTTTGCTTCTTGTATCTTGACCACCGTACGCCAACATTGGCTGCCCGTGGCCTACGCACTGCGTCTTTGGTCGATGGCAACAACACTTGACGACGAGTGCTTTCGCAGGCGACAGTCGCGTTTTCTAGTTTCCTTCGCGCATCCAAGTCGACCGTGCGAGGCAGCCACGTCTGAGAAGATCGCATCACGATCGCTACGTTCACAATCTGTGGTCGGCTCGTCATGACGACGACCTGCTTTGCACGTTGAAGTCCTACGGACCATGCAGAACGAGGCGCAGCCATAGCCGAGACTGCACCCTGCCAGCAGCTACAAGACCACCACCTTCAACTACAACAACAATAACAACAGGTCACACACACATGTAATAGTGCTCGAGCAAGCATGGTGCAATGCCATACCTGCATCTCGGCCTCGAGCACGTCAATCGTGATGTAGCACGTCCAGACAACTCCATACAGACGCACGCAGCCTTGTGTGCGGTCGAGACATACAGCCAGGGTCACCGTGAGCAAAAGGACAGCCATGAGCCTTTCAACTTGACCGCGCGTCGCAGAGCTGCCTTCCCGCTCGGCTCTGCACTGATCTGCTCGTCGCTTCTAGCGCGACGGCTCTCTCTGAACCACGTCGACCTTCTGTCCAGCACCGCTCCCCTCCGTCGCTGGCGGGCTGCATCACAGCACCTTCGAGAAGAACGATGGCATTGCAGCAGCAGCAGCAGCAGTCAAGAGAGGATAGACGACACGACATCTACCGCACACATGTCATCGTATAATCTCACGCGACAACCGGACAGTAGCACCTCAACGATATGAGCCTCTGTTGTCAAACGTCGTCGCGTCCGTTGATGTCGTATCGGATTAATGCGTTCAACGTGAGCAATGCTTCGAGATTCATTGTCCATCTGCTTGAAGTAGTCTCTTGTGCCATTGTTGCTCGACAGCGCTGACAACGTCGTAACAACAATCGACGCATCAGACTGAGCTGCAGCGTCACTGCGACAAGTACTGATTGACTCGCGTGTAGGTTATCATACTAGGGACACGACATTCACCAGTGTCTGAACGTGGTGTCAACACCCACGTCTTCTGCACTACCGTACACTAGCTGGGAAGTTGCACTACCCCTCGAGTTCGCACGAGATCTTTCCATGCAGATCAACGTCCGTTTACGTGGATCGCTACTGTCTTTGTCCACGCAAGAGCGGCAAAAGACCATACAGTTTCGCAGCAGTCGCATCCGCACAAGTTGAAAGTGGTGGCTGGCGTGCATGTGACACAAGCCGAACCGATCAGATGCTGGACAAAGTGCGTAGGAATAGCGCAGCAAAAAGAGAGATGGGCGCCACCCGTTGCGTGCGTCCAAAGCGGAGCAGCGTCGAAGCGCAAAGAATCGCAGCGATAGTTCGACGCGCTGAATGGACCTGCGCAAACCGACTGCATGAAAAAATGGCGTGACCGCAGCAGGGACGTTTGATACCTTGCAACAACCTGACAACTCGGCGGAGACTGACGAGGTAGTCGTGCACTGAGCTCGAGCACGCACTGGAAAAGCTCATGAAGACGGCTTCATCGTGTCTTTGTTTGATGAGCCTGCGCGCATGTCGCGGGCTGTCGGACGAAAAAGTACATCCGCGAAAACTCTCAGCAATAGCTTTGCATGAAGTCACGAATGTGGTACGAAGATATGGACGGACGAGGTCGGACAATGGATGAGGCGCTTCGTAGTGGTAGTGCGAGGCACAGCCGCTTCATTTTTCGCTCTGGACCAGGCAGCTGGATGGGGATATCTGGCATCAGTGTACGACGACCCTGGCAGGAAAACAAGTCGTTGATGTCTCACTGACAATAACCTTTTCGGTCACCAGCAGCAGCTCGCAGAGCAAGTCGAAACGCTTGGCAGATTGTCTCGAAGCTACCGCTTGTCCCGAGAACTTTCTTACCGCTGCGATCAGCACCTGCAGCGAATTCGCTGACGGACATTTGCGTTGTTAGCTTACGCGGTTACTGCGACAGAGAAGTCGAGAACGACCCACGTGATCGTTACTGCTGACTTTAGACGCCCTTCCCCGTTGTCGACGTGAAAGAAGCGATGAATTGCTTTGCCTGCCACGAAACGCCCGACAGTCGCTACGATCGACGTCGTACACTTGGACCCGATGCCCACCACGAACAAAGTCGGGAACACTCGCAAACGCAGCAAGACACTACTTTGCTCTATGTCAATCGACTCGGCTGCAACACGGAGATCCATTCACTCGGCAGCACCCGAGAAGACTGCAATAGCTGCAGTCGGAAAGCAGCTTGCTGCATTCAGGACGAAACCCATCGATCGAGCGGGTGTCGAGAAGATGGAGTGGAGCGCATCGATGGACAAAGTTGTTTGGTTTCCAAGGAGGATGTGGTAGACACTCGGTGGATCCTGGCAACAACAGCGTCAGAACTGCACTACTCTTCCCCCCCACAGCATCGACAGCATACAGCCCTTCACTACCAACGTAGTCAAACAAACAACCACCACAACCAACAACCAAACACGCGGACTTCGTGCTCTCATCAACTCGGTGTATCACATTTTATTCCAGGCAGTAAAGCAGTCAAGCCCAAAACAAGGCCGTCAGCCGTCACTCCTCATCCATGCGTCATGTCTCCTCGTTGTCAAAGGCGGCAGAAGTGGAGACCACAACATACGAAACGAGCCACGCAGCCACGCGATCAGCACCCTTCCAGCAGCCAGACCAACCAGAGAAGCCAAATTCTAGCAGCAGATACCAGCCAGCCTGATCTCCTGCCACTTGACGTTGTCTTCTCGCCAGCCCTGAACACGCGCTGTCCACCACTGCAATCGCTCCATCTCGTCCTGCCTGCTGTGTCAAAAGCACAAGGCTCTGGACACCCTTCGCCCAACGTCCACGCCCGCTCTTGACTTATCTGTTGGCCTTGGCCACACGCTCAATCTCGTCCTTCTTCTTGATCGCGTAGCTGTTGGACGAACCCTTGGACGCATTAATCAGCTCGTCCGCCAGGCACTCAGCAATCGTCTTGACGTTACGGAACGACGCTTCACGCGCCCCCGTCGCAATCAAGTACAGCGCCTGGTTCACGCGGCGGAACGGCGACACGTCGACGCCTTGACGACGCACGACGCCGGCCGAGCCGACACGCGTCGAGTCTTCACGAGGACCCGACTTGATCACCGCTTCCACCACGACTTGCAGCGGGTTGCGGTCCGTCAACAAGTGAATGATCTCGAGCGTGTGCTTGACAATGCGCGTGGCCTTAAGCTTCTTGCCCGAGTTGCGGCCTTTGCGCATCAACGCGTTCACGAGGCGCTCAGTGATGGGACACTGCGCCTTGCGGAACCGCTTCTTCTGGTACCGCTGGGCCGTGTGCGGCAAGAACGTCGCGGCTTTGCCCTTCACGGCAATGTAATCTTCCAGCGAGATGTCGCCCGCGACGCTAATGTCATCGTACGACCTGCAAAATCAGAGGCAACGAACGCGACACAAGAGAGCGCGTGAAGAGAGTTAGCAACAGTGTGTCGATAGATACTGTACATGAAGATCACTAGCGCTTTATGCAGAGCTACAGGAGGGAGAAGAACCCATCACGATCGAGGCACTTGTGCCACACACACACACTCTCTCTCTGGACACTGATAGAAACAGGAGCGTCGTATGTACCACTCAATATGAAAGGGATCAACCGGATACGGCTTTCTGTGGTAGAAAAGGGAGACCAAAAACGATCGATCGATCACTCGCTCTGTCTGTCGTTGATGTGGTGCTCTCTTTGCTTCCCCCTCTTCTCCTTCTTCTCTACCGTATCAATCAATCAACTGACTGACTGACTGACTGACTGACTGACTGACTGACTGACTGACTGACTGATGACGGGCTGTCTGGTTCATTGGCTGGCTGTGTGTGTACCTACCACTTGTTAAAGAGCTTGACTTCCGTTGCAGCTTCCGCCATGTTGAGAGGGTTTCCGAGGATGAACGACGAGTGCGAGGCTGAGCGCCGACGACAAATGACTGGGTAGGAAGGTGTTGGCATACGAGGATCCAGTCAAGCATACTCTCGGCAAGAGGTTCGGAGCCCTACCCCGTCGCGGTTCACGGTTCAGTAGACCGCGTCCAGTGCGGTCTCACCACGAGCACGGATGTGGTCAGGTTACGCTGTGGTGCAGTTTTTGCTCTTATACTGTTTGTGACGAATGTGTCGAGAGAGAGAGAGCGCGACTTGTGTACCCCCGCGTGTATCCCCCTCCCCCGACGTACGCACTGTAATAAACAATTGTCACTTTTCACTAGTGTCCTACACTCGCAAGTGCTTCGACGCAACGTTGCGCAGATACTGTAGCAGCATACAAATGTCTGGCCGTGGTTTGCAAGTCTAAACGTGGTATCGCCCTGCCTCGTGGCAGTCGCGTCGCCCCGACGTTTCAATCGCACGGCCCTATTCCCCACAGGCATTTCTACCACCCGCCAAACCTTATGGCTCTCCCACACCTCAGTTCTCCCCACCACGTCCGCCACAACTGCGCACGAGCGTAATCATCAATCCCGAGGACCCTTCGAGAACACATAAGCACCTGCGACACCCGCGTCCCCGTCCGCTCCCCCTATCTGAACTCCCCCCACACGCCCATCGAAAGTCGTTTGCTCACTTTCGAATACCTCTCGAGACGACACACATCGAGACAGACGAACGAAAGGAGAGGCGAGCGACACGCGCGTTTCGATCGCACCTCTTCCTGCCCACGCGAATGGGGGGCGGACCCATCACTTCCGATGTCGTGCGCTCGTCGTGTTTTGTCACGTTTCCCGAACGGGCGCACGCCGAGCCCGTACCTGTCGACGCCTGGTACCTCTTTGCCGCCGGTCTGACGTTCCTCCGGCGCTTAGCGCGGGACCGCGTGGGCGACGCGATGCACGTGGCGCTGGTACTGCAACTGCCGAGCGACGCAGACGACAAGACCGAGCGGCGGTACGCGTCCGTGAGCTCGAACGCAGTGCTCCAACGCGCGCTGCAAGTGACGTTTGCCTCACCGGAGAAGGCGCTTGTGCTGCACGTGATCGACGTCGGACACGTGCGCGGCCAGCAGCGCATCCACGTGCGGCCTGAAGCGAACGCCAATGTGTCGCCCGAGCCAGTGGCGCCGCTGGCGCTCGTGTTCCCGACACTGGCAGTGGACGGACGCGAGACGCCGATCGCTGTACAAGTCCCGACCGCTCGCGTGATGAGCGAGAGCAGCGACGAGCCGTTGCGCCGGTCGATGGTCAAGTACCACAAAGGTGACTGTGGGCGGTGGAAGACAGCTGCAGGAGCAGCGCGAGAGGGTGCGGCAGTGGACAAGACAGCGACGACGAGTAGAGAGCATGTGGGGGGATGGTGTGGTATTGAAGAGAGGGATTATACCAAGCGCGTGCACGAGGGAGGAGAGCAGGTGGAGAGTCACGGAACAGCGATTGAAGCTACTGAGGAGTCGAGTGGAAGACTGGTGCCGCAGGTACAGTCAGAGTCGGCTACGTGTGTGGACAAGCAACTGGCCGATGCAAGCGATGTGCCCTTGGCAACAGTTGTTGTGGACTCGGTTGCCAACACGGCCCAGACGATCCCGAGTGACTATGTGATGCTGGAGCTGCAGACGGGTGCTGGCTTGCCGGAAGCCGCTGGGATGGCGAGCTCGACGTACTTTATCTCGTCGCGATGGGCTGAACAAGCCGACGAAATGAGTGCGTCAATGGTGTTGGAACGACCGCCACCCGCGCGAGCAGCGCGTGGCACTGAAGGACTTAGTAGTGGCAGAAGGAGTTCTACTGCGACGCTGGAAGACTCGTTCGTGGTGCTTGAGCGTCATGAGCTGTAGCTGGTGTGATGGAGAGAAGAAGACGGAGGAGAAGAAGAACGGGTCACATTTACATGCCCAACCGACACGTGAAGGGAGCGACTGGTTGTGGTGTGACGCAGTGGTGTGACGCAGTGGTGTGACGCAGTGGTGTGACGCAGTGGTGTGACGCAGTGGTGTGACGCACCGTATGGTTAGAAATCGCAGAGCGTACGATAGAAACGCCGTTTCGTGGGCTGGGCGTGCGTGGGTAAGTGCGTCGCGTCTGACGCCCCGCACGTATTGGATAATAAAAGTATTTATACTCTGCAACTTGATACCACGTTCCTTTTGATACGCGGCCGTTGGCGTCGCTGTTCTCGACCAATCACAACCCGTTCATCACCACCTCCGTCCACTACCTCGTCCGCTATCCCGCGCGACCAGTCAACGCATAAAAAGAAAGAGTACATACAACATGGCCGCCGTCACGGGCAGCGTCGGAAGCGTCTCGAGCGTCGCGCACTTTGACGACGCGACGGCGCGCGACTCGACGCTCTCGGTCACGTACTTCTACGCCGAGTTCCACGACGCCTGTCGTCCCAACGGGCAGCTCGACGTGGTCGTGCGCCAGCTCGCGACGCTGTACCCGCGCGTTCGGTTCCTCAAAGTCGCGGCCGAAGAGCTCACGGAGCTCTCGGACCGCTTTCAGGTCGCCGTCGTACCCACTTTTGTCATTGCACAGGGCCCAATTGTGCTCGAGAAACTCGAGGGAACGAACGTCGCAGCGCTCGCGAAGCGGGTGGACGTGCTGAGCAAACGGGTGGTCCACACGACGTCCACTTCAACGTCAGCAGCCAATGAAACGCCGGCGAACAAACAGCCACTCGACGACGCTCGACAGGTTCGACTGGCAAAGCTGTTGCGTGCAGCGCCCGTGATGCTGTTTCTCAAGGGCACACCGAGTGACCCCAAGTGTGACGCGAGTCGCGACGTGGTCGCGTTGCTGAACGAAGAGACGATCGCGTTCAGTGCGTTCGACGTGGATCAGGACCACGACGTGCAGGAAGGACTGAAGCTCGTGTCGACGTCGTCGACGTTCCCGCAGCTCTATGTACATGGCGCGTTCGTTGGTGGACTGGATCGTCTCAAGGAGATCAAGGCGACAGGGTCGATTGCGGACCACTTTGGTCTGACGAAACAAGTCGAGCCAACCGATGCGGCGTTCCAGGAGAGTCTGCGTGCACTGGTGAACTCGGCCCCGGTGTTGCTGTTTATGAAGGGCACGCCGTCCGAGCCCAAGTGTGGCTTCAGCAAGAAGACGGTCCAGCTACTGCGCGATCACGGGATTGCGTTCAGCTATTTCGACATTTTGAGCGACGCAGAAGTGCGGCAGGGGCTCAAGCAGTTTGCCAACTGGCCAACGTATCCGCAGCTGTATGTCAAGGGCAAACTTGTTGGCGGGCTGGACATTTTGAACGAGATGGCCGAAGACGGCGACTTGAGCGAGCAGCTGGGCGTGGAGAAGAAGGCGAAGAAGGAGAACAAGTTCGAACAGCTCATCAACCGTGCGCGTGTCATGATCTTCATCAAGGGCACGCCCCAGCAACCGCAGTGCGGATTCAGCCGCAAGCTTGTGGACATTCTGGACAGCGAAGGCTTCAAGTACGACTCGTTTGACATCCTCACGGACGACAGTGTGCGCCAGGGGCTAAAGAAGTACTCGAACTGGCCGACGTTCCCGCAGCTGTACGTGAAGGGCGAGCTCATTGGCGGGCTTGACATTGTGCAGCAGATGCAGGAGGACGGGGAACTCGCAGAGCTCAAGGAGTAGGGTCTGTCCATCTGGGCAAGCACGTCGAGTCGACGGTGCGAGAACGTAACGAACAATGAATAGTGCATGATGCATGTCCTTCTTCCATCTCCAGTATCGGTCAAACCTGTATTGTGCACGAAACTTTACCGAGCATATCGTTCATTGGTACTTAGGCGATAATCTCAGTGACGATGCCAGCAGCAAGCGTCTTTCCACGATCACGTAGCGTGAAACGCCCTAGCTGGCGATAGTCGGCAAACGTCTCGAGGCAAACTGAGCGATGGCACGTGATTTGCACCACGGCCGAGCACTCGCGGGTGATGCAACGCGGCTTCTTTCTTCCCACCTCACCAGTCTTGTTCAAGACACTCACTAGCCGTGTGACATTCACAGGCTCGTCAATGTTGTGCATGTGGATCGTCACGTATGTCCCTTTTACCAGCGGCACCTCCATCGTTGGCATCGTCATGATCTTGGCCTCGAATTTCTTCGCGAGCCGCACCGGCGATGCTATCGAGCACAGGATGCTGCCAGTACTGTGCGCATGCATATTCCAGTGCACACAAGGACACTCAGTTAGGAGCGAGAACAATGGCATGTCAAAGCACAACATGTCCATATCATACGTCAAAGCTGTCTGATCGATTCCAGTGACCCCCATCTCGATCGTGTCTCCGGCACGAGCAAGTGTACACGATTTGCCGTCTTGTTCAATGCCTGCATCCGGTCATGCAAACGGTAAGGAACGAGTACATGCAGCGACGAAAGTCGCCTGATGATTGCTCAGTAAGTGACCTTTTACTGCCAGATGGAGTCCAATTGGCATCAAGAGGAACTGTTGCAGTAGTAGAAACGTGTGATGAGTGCACCACGCAAACACTACAGCTGCATTGACAAGTGACTCACCGAGTCGCCCACGGCGGCAGCACCGGCGTAGACGCGACCGGAGATACTTTGACCCAGACTCAATGACTTTGACACATCGGAGACTGTCATGCGGAAAGGCTTCGAGATCTGGCGCTGGGGAGGAGCAAACGAGTCTACATGACGGTGAGAACTTGTACATTATGCCAGAACGTGATCTCGTATCAACACGTACCGATAGCCTCGACCAGCGACGGACCCGAGTACCACGAGCCTTCCTCGACACCACCGGTCTTCTCTAGATTGATGCCAGTCATGCCACTGACGGGAACAAAACGTAGATTCTTCGGTCGATAACCTGCGTTTTGTAAGAACGTCGACAGCGACTTGACGATATGGTCAAAGCGTTCCTTGTCCCAATTGATCTGTGCGTTGAACAACAGTGTACGAAACGACAGTGTGAGCAGACCGGTCACTTTCCGCAAGCTGCTGCAGCTATGCGACTCTCACCGTATCCATCTTGTTGATTGCCACGACCATCTGAGCAACGCCTAGACTCCGCACAAGCAACGCGTGCTCCTTGGTTTGGCCCGAGTTCTCAAATGCCGCTTCAAACTCACCAGTCACCGCTGGAACGACCAGCACTGCCACGTCAGCTTGTGCAGCTCCCGCAATCATTTTCGGGATAAAGTCCCGATGGCCTGGCGCATCTAGTAACGTCACGTGCTTTGTTGCCGTCTCGAAGTAGCTCGTGCCCACGTCCATCGTGACGCCACGCGAGCGCTCCTGCTCGTCAGCATCCATGACCCACGCATAGGCAAACGACGACTTGCCAGCCTCGCGCGACTCTTTTTCGTACTTGTGCATCAGTCTTTTGCTCACGTAGCCCAGCTTGTACAGCAGGTGGCCCGTAATGGTGCTCTTGCCAGCATCCACGTGTCCTATCACCACCATACTAATCTTCGTCTTGCCTCCATTGCGAGCTTCCTCCTCGAGCTCAGCCGCTCGTTCCTGTGTCTTCAACTCGGCACGCTCAAAAGCTTTCGTCTCCGTCGGCGTGAGTTGTGTCCGACGTCCCAACAAGATCGTCGGCGCAGTCTTCGCTGCATCCACCACCGATGCCTGCAGTGTCTGTTCTCCGTTATTGGCAACAACCGTCAACGGCATTGCATCACGAGCAATCGTCAGAGCTTGTCCTTTGGCTGGAGCAGGCATGACGATCTCTCTTTTCTCAAGCTTCTGCTCTTCTTTGCTGCTGCCATCGAGCGCAATAGCTTCGAGTCTCGACACATCCGTCTGCAACGACAGCTCACTATCGAGCGCATCGAGCGCTTGGCCCTTCTCCAGCAACGCCATCACAGCTTGATCCAGATCGTAGTTGGCCCGACGAAGCTCCTGGGTGATCTGCTGAACGGACACGTTTGTGCCAGCAATAAGCTGTTGGACTTGAGGGATAGTGACTTCAAGAAGCTCAGCATCTCCACAGTCTTTTCCGTTGGCACTGCTTTCAGTGGCTTCCGCGTCACTCGTCACTTGCTGCCGCTGCTGCACGAACGAAAAGACGGACGAGTGGCGACTGGGGGAGTCTCGGCGATACATGAACTCGTCGGCGTCTCCTCATGGTCATGGTGGATAGATACATCGAAAGACGTCGTTGGTGGACATGTGTTTTGGTAAGTATACATGATAAAAACCAGTTTTATCGTGAAGACCTGAGAATAACCGGTAGTACTCGCGTGTGGGTACGTACTTGACGCCGCTGCAGCGCCCTCGTCGTAGTCATAGTCGTCGTAATCTGGGTGACATAGATCGACACAGAGCGAATCCACGATGAGCGAGCGATCGTGAATAGAGGACGAAAGCCTCAATGTTTGTGAATGCCGTACCTTCGTCCTCATAGGAGTACGCGCGGTTGCGTACGTTACGATGGCGGGACATGGTCGGGGCTAAGGATTGCGTGAGCTGGTCCGACGTCGAGAGATACCGGTATTTGTACTGGTAGTCAGTTTCGCGGCATCGGTTCGCATCTGCTCTCGGCAAAAGTAAGCCATGTCCAACAGGACCGGTTTATCGTATCGTACCGTATTTTGCTACTCGCGACCACTTTGCATGCACAGATGCTTGCGACCTACGACTGACGCTTATCAAGTGCTGCAATATGAAGTTGAACGATACGCTGTCTTGTGATTGCTCTTTGCGCGCAACTCGACAAGCGTTAGACGTGCGTCAACGGATAGTCTTGTCCAGACCGAATCTTGTTGCGGCATCCGAGCAGAGTTCGAGTCAATGTCTTGTGTACGGTAGAAATGTGCGTCAGGGATCTTACGACCTTTTCAATGTCTTCCGCCTTGCAGAGAACTGCAGTCGTCGGATCAATCATTTTCCTGTAAAATGATTCATCTAACATCCTGCAATCATTGCAGGTACAACAGCCGCATCTGTCTTTCCTAAAGATGATGTGTCGTTGTTGACGAGGTGACGCGGATAGGAAGACATCCACGCCAACCACTGGCACAGCAAATGCACACATGGCTGGAATGGTCACAAGCGATATCTATCATTCGTGTGGCGCTGCTCAACGCGTCATTTAGGGGCTGTTGCCGTTCGTAAGTGCAAACTATTTGCTCTCTTACTTTGCATGCCAAGCGACAGCACTTGTCTGATGTAGCAGTGACTATATCGCCGTCGTCTTCTCCCCCTATCATTTATCTGTCGGGTTTACTATACGTCCTCAAGCATGACTTTGTCACGACAAGAGGCTCATAAGTCTTCTTTTTTTAGATGCTGGTGACGCAGTTTGTTGGCCCTCGACACGACTTCACGGATCTCGCGTCGCATGAGCTACTAGCATAGGGTCGACCGCCAACTTGAGCTGGTATACCCTTGTGAACCAGTTTGAGCGGTAGCTCTTGTTCACGCTCGCGGCTATCTTTCTCAGAAGAGGTTGTGACTTGACTGTATGGACAATATCCATCCGAAGAGGCCACAAGTACAAAAGAGATCGTGCTTAGTAGGGCAGAGCACGACGTGCTACCCGGTACCTATATTCCCATGGACTGTACATGAAACCATCCGTTTTGATCCACCACTATGTTCATCAGATCGTTCACGTCGATCAGAAGTGAACATCGATTGCGAGTCCGACTTGTCAAGCTAAAGCGCGAGATAACGTACACCACCTTCGCGACGCGTATTGACGAGCACGTGGTCGGCTTCCTTGCTCGACCAATTGCATGCTGACAAACGAAAATGGCGCTGTCATTGCCGAGTCCCGGTCAGTTATGACCTGAGCTGCGATGAAGAGGATATCTGCAGGCAAGAGCAGGACGTGCATGTTCGGCAAGCTCATGGTCCACAAATGTTTCGAGAAAGCGACACAAAGTTGTGACATCGGTTGCGCACCTAAAGCTGCAGCACAACCTCCGCAATCAAGTCCAGAGTGTCTAGCATGGGGATGCTCGAAACGAGCAACAAGTCGTGCCATTTTGCGGGGCCACGGCTTGTGTGATGGTGACACGCAAACCGTTCTTGTGACCTGGCCATCATCATCATTCATTCCTATGAGAAGAACAAGCACACACGAATTGCGTAGATGCATGTGCGAGCAGCGCTGAATGGATCCGACCTTCTACCGATTACCAGCTAGTAGTGGCTGACTTGCGTTGCATGTTACCCTTTCCTGCTGACGGTGAAAGAGAAGCGGGCTGAGAGGTCTCAACCTGTAGTACCAGGATGCTGACGCTTTCAAATGATCGTACTGAAGCAAGCCCCTCGCAAAGAGCTGACCACGATCACGGCACAACACTGAGTGTGTGAACAAGCTGGTAAGTGCTATCTCCTGGTCTTGATACCGTAACACGTCGCTTGCCGTTGCAAACTCCGCTCCAGATTGCAATCATATCGAGTCTTCCCACGCGTAAGTCGGCAACTTGGATCCTTGAGGCAAAGAACAAAGGACACAGTAGATGCTATTGGCAGTGGAATGTACACGTAAACGGACTCACTCGAAGCGTTCGAACAATGTCGACTCGACAACCACTACTGGACCCTAAGACATGGACATGAACGTCAGTCTTGATGACCAGTTATCACACTGAGATGCCCACGTTCTTTTTGTGCCTCCACCCAGCCTTGCTCGAGCGATGGACGTCAACCTCCATCGACTCGATGACAAATGTGGAGGACAACAAATGAGTCAGTGAGTAGACCCCCAGGTAGGCGCGCACTTGCTAGGGTGCTATCGAGCAATTGGATGTGTCTGTCCGTGATGCTCGAGCTGTCTCGAAGTTTGCTTCCATCTTGTCCGATCATTCGCGCACCGTGAATCGGAACACAGTTCACAAGATACTTATCATAACGGAACAGTCATGAAAGTGCCACGAGACAAGCCGTGATTACTCCTCACATCCACAACAGGACGTGGAGGAGCTGTTGTGCGCAGTTATCTTACTGCAAGGGCAAAGAGCGTCGTCAGAAAGCAGTATAGGAAGACACTTCGCAGCAATTACGCTCTTGACAGTTACTATACCTAGTTCTGTCAGCAGTACAAGGAAGAACCCCAGCAGGTCGTGTCCAAGATGGCACGGAAGCATGTCCGTGACTCAGCAGAAGCATTCGAACTAGTCAGCTAAAGTCATGCAGTTGGATTCAATCGTCAGTGGTACTTTCGATGCTGCATCTCCCACCCAGTTGTGACTTCTGGTAAGTATCCCGACAAGGCGTCTGCCGAGCTCGTTCTATGGTCAATGAGCTCAACGCTTTGGTCATCGTGGTCAATGCAGCTCGTACAAAGATATTCTGCTGAATTTGGCTTATTGCAGCACGATCAGGTACGTGGAACACCGTCGTCAATGTTGATGTGTTTTGTCGATAACGTCCTACTTGAACCACAGGTCCAGGGGAGAAATCGAGTGCTGTGTGCGTCGAGGATACTAAGTTGAAGGTTGTTGCGAACTCTGTGAGCAGCCTGGTAACTTTCTCGTGGTACATCGAACAGGAGCAGGCAATACGTAGGACATCCGTCTTTCTGGTCTTGGTGAACCCTTTGCGATGGGCAAATCATTTGCAATCGGTCCGCAACTTTACTTGACCTCTTCTGCCTTCGAACCTCCTTCCGGTACATCCTCCTCGCTCAGCTTCGACTGAGCTCTATCGTCCTCTTCGATGTTACTTAGAAGTTATGTACCGACATGGATTCCGGAGGCGCACCTGTTTAGTTTTGCTTCTGTCTCCTGCTTTAGCTTATGCTTCGCATTCTCTACCTCCCTCGAGCTGTCTTGATACTGTCCGTCTCCCCAGTAGTTGAAGAGACAAGAGACTTGACAGACATTTCCGTGTAACGCAACCAAAACATATTGTCCAGCGCATGGCAGCAAGTCGGTCGGCTTTGTGCATGATGCAGACCTTCACATGCTCATCATAATCGATGGTATGGGCGGTAGCGCGTTCTAGGCTGCGCCAACAAGCGAGCTGATACGTTTCAAGGTTATCATCACGCACCGCACGAGCAGCATCGTTGTTGTTGTTGAAGGTGAGGTATATTGAGGAACGTTATCGACCAACAATACCCTTCCAGAGAGATTAAACTATCTGGTGTTGCTATCTATGATGAGTGAAGTCGCTACCGTGTGAGGAGCAGTTCTCCTAGCCACCATTAGCTGTGCTGGCAATGCCCTCTTGCGGGTAGTTTGCATGTTGCGATTATTCGATCCACGGTCGAGTTCGACTGATGTCTCGAGCCAGTGGTTGACGTCGTGCTGTATGTGATGCGTGATGTCCGTATAGATGTTCGTATCTGTCAGATCGTGAACTTGAAGAGTTGTCTTGGTATTCATCGCAGTGTTCGCTGCGACTTCTGCCATCATATTATATTCCCGGATGTGGTGAGCCCAGCTGGCGACTGATACATCGTCAGCCAATGCTCGCGCTTGTCGGTACAGTGCGGCTAGGTTCGACTTGCGAGATGAGCGATACCCTCGGAGTTGATTAATTACCATTACATTGTCCCCGATGACATGCAACGGTAGGAATTCGCTGTGTTTTGCCTGCCGTAGGCCTTGAATGAGACCATTATATCCAGCCGAATTGTTTGTAGTCGTCCCCACTCGAAGTGATATACTAGCCATCCAGACGATTGTAGCGGCATGTGTCTGTGGGTGAACACAGACAATGACGGAGCCTGAGCCTCCTGGTCCGGGGTTTCCCTGTGAACCACCATTGAAGAATAGCAAATACAGGTTCGTTGCAAAGGCTGGTTGAGCGTTTAGCAGCAGTATTGGGGTCCCAGTGTACGAGCAGCATCGTGCACTCAAGTGATAGTACAAACCCGGTGTCGTTGCTGTATGTATGGCACGAGGCAAAAACCAGATTCGCATCGAGCCCTCTTTGAAGCCAACTACGATGAACATCGCGTTGGGCATGACTGAACTATTTAGACGCAGAAGGTCTGTGGAAAGAGATGTATGACGATGCCGTTCATTTTCAGGCGACCAAACGATGCCGCATGATAGCACCTAGAGCGACTCCTGTGAGCACTCAAGACACCTCAATACTGCCGTCACCCGACAGCGTCTTGCTGCTTCAACGACACTCACTCTCACGTCAGACTAAGGTTGGTTCGTTGACCTCATGGTGCTGCTCCTCAGGCAACAATTGGCTCGGCGTTCCAGACACAAACGGTCTATCGTCACAGCTACATGTCCTAACTGCACAACGCCAGTTTACGTAGTGATTTAGGAGCATGAGAAACCGGACTTGCACTACACACAGCTTCGATCATCCCGCGGATGGTGATAACCACGTGGGTGGTGGTACTCGACTAGTCCGATGTAGACGCCGCCACCAAGTGCACCACCAAGTATGGGGCCGACTATGGGCACCCAAAAGTAGTAGCCGCGCAGGGTGAACACGTGCGTGCCCCAGCCGGCGCACAGCGAAAAGAGGCGCGGGCCAAAGTCACGGGCCGGATTGATGGCGTAGCCCGTGTTGAGGCCAAACGCCATGCCGATTCCTATGACCAGTAGAGCCACAGCGCTCGGCTTGGTGTACGGACTGGCAGGCTTGTTCAACTCATCACCAAGAGCAAAGATACCGCCCAACAGGAGTGCTGTGCCAACGACCTCCGTCAAGAAGCAGGTGCCAATTGGTACGTCGTCGCTGTACGGGTACGTGGCAAAGACGCTTCGCGTCGATTCCCTGTTCGACTCGGCAGCGCTGAGCAACGGGTAGTAAACGGCCCAGACAAGGAAGGCGGCTACGAAGGCGCCTAACACTTGGGCAATGATGTACGGGGTCACTTTGCGCCACTCAAAGCGTCCGTAGAGGGCGAGGGTCGTGGTCACAGCCGGATTCAGATGACCGCCCGAGACTCCTCCTGACGCGTGGATGCCAAAGAGTACACCGAGGCCCCAACACAGGTTGATGCTGAGATATTCACCCTGTTTGCCCCCAGAAAGCTCAACCTGCGCCACGACACCGTCTCCAAACATAACGAGCACCATAGTGCCGATAAATTCAGCCAGACACTCCCGCAGGAGTGAGGACTTGACTTGATACGGCTTGGCAACCTCTGTCGCTGCTTCAACATCCGGCTCTCGTAAGCTGGTGTATTGGTCCTCGGGCTTCTCGTTGCGGGTCATAGTCAGCACTGCTTCGGAACAAAAGCACGGAATCGGGAGCACTCGCAAGGCACGAGCACGTTACTTAGTGAGATGGTAAGAAAGCGGTGACAGCGTGGGATGGCCTTCATCCCACTGAAGCGTGGGATGGCCTCCATGATGGAATCTTACAGACCCCATGTGCACCGGTAGAGCTGACACGCCAACGCTTCCATCCATCACAAGTGATCTGGTCAACTCGACCTAGTTGAAGCTCTCAACGACCGTGGTACAGCTATCCTCAGCAAACGCGTGATTTGTTGCAGTGCAGGCGTTCATGATGACAATAGTGACAACCGATACGATTGTTTGGGATAGCAAGGGTGGCGAGTATGCTTTTAGCCCTTGTAAGGAAAGACGGATTGACTGCTTCGCATGCTTGTTGGACAAGGGCTGTGCACCGAGACTCGAGTTTGCTGTCATCTCGACGCCGGAAAGCGGCAAGCAATGTGCAAGGAGACAGATAACGAAAGTTTCGCATGCATGTCAGAGAGAATGAGAGGGTACGACACAACTTGTAAGTAGATGCGACGTGAGGCTGTCAATACCATCACCTGCTTCACACCTGTTAACTCTGGACATCAGTGCTCGTTCTGAGGGATGCAAGAATGCGTACACAGAAGATTGATGCCGACCATCACTGTCAGTCCTAGAATATCTGGCTCCATGACAGCATCCCCCCGCGCGGATCCACAACGTGCAGCTCTCCTTGCCTCTTTTGTCTCTGCGTTGCTGCACTATCGCCCTCGACATGCAGCTGCGTATTGTCTCAACCAACAACGAACGAAGGAGTTGTAAGGCATTGCTTGATAGACAAAGCACGGTCGACATCATGGTCCGAAAGAGTGAAACAAGCTGGCACAGATCGTCTCGACATCATGGCATTGTGGCCATCATTTTGCGACAGCAATGTGAGCATTTGGCACAATGGGCATCGGAGTAGTGCTATTACTTGCGGTAGGAATTAACGCTGCTGTCTATGAAGTGCGTTGCGATTGAAGCAGTTTGTACCATTACATGGGGTTCCTCGGAAGCGGTGTCTCTTGCGACTAGCACCCGAATGTGTTTGCTCAAGCGAATGTACAACGTAAAGCGACTGCTATGCTGTCCTTGAACTGGCCAATCTCCACGGCGTCTCATCATCTCTTTTTCGACGACACTACAGCATATTCTCGAGTGCGACATATGCGCGTGTGGTGCTGCCATGTTTGACACAGGATGAGCCGCTCGTAACACCATTTCGCTTGACATCTCATGTCATCTCGCTGACCACAGAAGTGGCTGTCAAGTTGCTCTGATCACACTACGAATCTCGCTCTGAGCCATGTGTTCCTCGTCCCTCCTTCAAACTGCCAACGCAACACGCTCAATGGTGAACACACCGACCTCCTGTCAAGTGTCGTCCTACAGAAGCAACGACACGAACAAATGCTGCACTATAGCTGGCGAAACACGCGCAATCGTCACTTTTTTTGTCGCTGGTGACATTATCGCTATCGAAGGTTCGATCATGACTATGTGGAAGCGCACCTCAACCCTCGCATCACAGAAGCGACGAGTATTCCACGATGGAAGTAAGCGCATTTGATTGGCTACTCGTCGCCACCGCACGCGTAACGTCCGCGATCTCGTAGCGACCGATGGATTTCCTGCGGCAAGTGGCTGTGGACCTGCACGCGCTGCGGACAGAGGCCAAGCGCAAGTACCCCGTCGTGAAAGAAGCAGTAGACCGTGCGCTCGAGACGCTGCCTCTCTTGCAGCAACAGTATGCGGCGCTCGTGCGTGCAGAGAAGCACGCGCCAGGTCCGGGGCACCGGTTTTTCCAGAGCGAGAGCGTCTTGCGGCCGTTCCTGTTGACGTGTAACCACACTAACGCATCACACAAGATCCTCGTGCTCGCGCTGTCGAGCATCCAGCGTCTCGTGAGTTGGGACGCCATTGGACCGGCCAGCGTGGGCAGTATCTTGCGCGTGTTGCAGATCCAGGCCGAGAAAACTGCGTACATTGACGTTCAGGTCAAGCTACTGCAGACAGTCTTGCAGCTCATGACGCTCGCGTATGAAGCGACGAACCGGGAAGAGAGTCGAACTGTCACACGGACTGCTCAGCACGCGTTGGGTCCGAATAGTTTTGTTCGCTCTGTCCATCTTTAGCTGTCACGAAAAGAGGACGGTATCTGACTCGGTTAATTTTGCTTGTTTATCTGGCTTTGCATATTGTTCTTTGATAGAAAGCGACCTTGTGGGCAACGAAGATATAGTGATGCAAGCCGTGTGGATCTGTGTACATCTCCATGCGGGCAGTAGCAGTGCTAGTTCGGTGGTAGGAAACACAGCGGCTATGACGATCCGGCAGTTGGTGTCACTTGCGTTTGGCAAAGTAGACTCGAGTCCAGCAGCCAAACGTGTTGGAGTGCTACTGTTCCAAGATCTGTGCTTTATCAGTCGAGAAGAGAGTGGCGTGTGGCTGAAACGCACGGCTGTGTCGCCGATGAGCGCTGCGTTAGCGGTTGAGCTTCTCGAAACGATCGTGACGTCTCATTATGGGCTCTTTCGACTAGATGTCGAGTTTACGACTGTCTTGAAGCAACAAATGCTTCCACTGATGCAGTCCGTGCTGGAAATGGGCTGCAACGATAAGCACGGTGGATCTGCAGGCTCAGGTATCACAGGTCCGACGAGCACCTCAATCACCAGCAGTAGCACGAACAACGCAGTGGGTCCATTCTTCCCACTACTCGCTCGCGGCATGCGTCTTGCGAGCACGCTTCTGTGCCATTTTGCCGACTGTCTCAACAGCGAGTGCGTTTCGATTTTGCGCGTGCTGCTAGAAATTATTGCAACAGGGACCTACACAAATGCGGACACCTCGAGGTCACCACGATCTTCATCCAAGTCACCGACAAGTGTATCGAAGTCGCCACGAGCTTTATCAAGGTCACCACCTGACTCGAAATACAATGCGGCAAGTGCGATTGCAAATTTCAAGGAAGCTAAGAGTTTCCTGGCCCACTCAAGCATGTCGATTGCTAGTGCCTCCAACGCATCTGGGAATACAGGAGGAGGCATCAATTTCGTGACGTGGCCTGTTATGCTATCACTAGAGGTTCTGAACCGCGTTTGTCAGGAACCTGACGTGGTTGCTGCAATGGTAAACTACCCTGGTGGGGTGCTCGTTGCTATTACTCGCACAACATCATCTGTAATCATGACATCACCACCATCGGATTTTTTACCCCAAGGTCCGGACGCAGCCGGGCTTCGCTCTGGTCTTGAGTTGTTAAATGAGCAAGAAACGCCCGTGCTTCAGCAATTCTACACGGCCGTTCGTGTTGCCGCTTCTTGTCAGTGCAACATGGCGACCTCCGTATTTGAGCTGTCGAGATCCACCGACAACGAGAAAGTGTGTGAGAAGCTAGCTAGAGCGTGCGTTGCCGTGGTGGCTCCTGCGGTGGTCCAGTCCATGAACTGCGTGATGCGGCACTGCCGCGAGGTCGACCTCGTCACCATGTCTCTCAAGTCATACCATGTGCTAGCCACGATTGCGTCGCGGCTTCGGGCGAACATGCGGAGCCGAACCGCAAGAGACACATGGTGCAAGCCGATGGATGAGGTGGTGCTGACTTGCCTACGTGCCTTATGTGGGTTCAGCTTTCCATTACCGGATGGCATTCGAGGAAACGCAAAGGGTTCGATTTCAACGACTGGCTCGGGTAGCAGTGGGTCTAGCGACTATGTAGGCGAAACTGGGGCGGAGGATGGCGAAAGCTGTCTTGTGACGATTAGTTGGCGCGAGGTGCATGCAATGAAGGCACTTTTTGGCGCTGCGCACGTTATGGAGGAAGAGCTTACAGAGGTGGAGTGGTGCGTGTTACTCGAGGACTTTGAGATTATCGTGGGACTTGCGGATCCAGAGCTAAGGAAGGGGCAGCAGAAACTACCGACTAAAGCCTATCGAATCCGAGCTTTTCGAATTGAAGACGAAGACGTAGAGCAGCAGCTGATGATGCTGAGCAATTCGGTCGTGGATTTGATCCGTGGCGCGCACAAGCTCAGCAGAACTGCATTGCAAAAGCTGCTAGCTGCAGTAAAAAGGGTTTCTTGGGAACAAGCTGGTCTCCCGATACCGTGTCAAGATTCGAAGTGCAGTTCGAAACCTGATGGCACGAAATTACCCACATGCGACTGGAAACTAATGGATGATGGCGACACACCCAGCTCCAGAAGCTACCACCATATGAAAATCTATCAGAGCTATCTGGGCGTGGGTCTCACTGGCACTGGCAGTTTTATGCCATGCTTCGTTGTACGCATGCTGACCCAATTAGCATCGAGTAGTAAGGAGTGTTTCGATGAAGTTGTGCGTGAACTGGTCCTCATGAGTACGTATGAGCCACGAGCGCCGCTAACGGCTGTCCAAGTTCCCCAGCTCGGTCAGTTCCAGATCTTCACTACCGACAGTATCCTGCAACTCATGCAAAACGCTCTGCAGCACATTGTCAGTAGTGCATCGTCCACCTCAAAGCCGATTATTGAAGATCGGGATACCGCGAGGGATGAGGAAAATCGTACATCCTTGTATGCATTCGATCAGCAAGAGTTGTTTGTGCCATTGCTGAGGTTGGTACGCTCGGACATGAGAGACCGCACATTGGCTGGCATGCTGGAAATGCTGAACGCTTGCGGCCACCTCATCAGTGCTGGCTGGCCACTGATATTCGCTGCGGTGCAAGAAGCTTGTATGACCGGCGATGGGAAGACACAGGTGCTTGCTTTCAAGTGTTTGCGCCTTATCGTCGATGACTTGGTGGTGTCAATACCGAGCACTTATCTCCCGGATTGTATCAAGTGCGTTGGGTGTTTTGGCAGTCGTGCAAAGGATGTTAACATCAGTCTTACAGCTGTCAACGAACTTTGGAGCGTGGCCGATGTGATTGGAAAGCAAAAGACGCAACATGAAAGCGACTCGAGTAACCAGCGACGATGCGGCCAGTGGGGATACATTTTTGCAGAAGTTAGCTCCGTAGCTTTGAATGACCGAGCCGAGGTGCGGAACAGTGCGATCAATACCCTGTTTGGTACGGCGGTGACGTACGGTGCTCAGTTTGAGCTGAGTGAGTGGCAATCTTTTATAAACTCGACGGTTCTGCCTCTTGCAACCAAGCTGTGCGAGACTCAAAAACAGAAAAAGCCGCTCTCACTTGAAGGGATCGAACAAAAGGCATCGGTCAACTACATGCTTCACCACTCACGTGACAGCAGCGAGAAGCAATGGAACGAATCCCGGGTATTGATGCTGACTGGAATCAGTCGCGTGTTAGAGACGAACTGTCACCATCTGCTGCAGCACGCGTCGTGGTTTGCTTCCATTTGGCGAGATCTGCTTCAGCACGTTGCGTTGAACGCCTCTTTTGGCATGCCCAAGGAAGTCGTGCTTGCGGCCGTCAAAACGCTTCAAACGCTTTTGCAGATTTCTTCAGCAGGAGATTTTGATCATATCGCGCAATCGCAGCGTGTTCGCGCTGGAGTTGGTATGCGTGTCGTTGGAGGTGCTCTCGTGTCTTCATCAATGCCGACGTCCGCTGCGTTGACTTCTCCGATGACACGGCGTACTATTGCCGCACCAGTGTTTTGTGGTCCCCGACTGTGGGAGGAGGCGTTTTGCCAACTGTTGCAGCTGTGCGACGAGAGGCGACTTGGTGCTGAAAAGGACAAGGGCTTTACTCATCTGTGGAAAGAAGACGATGAACAGGAAATTGCGAGTGCAGTGGTGTCAGTGTTGAGGACGCTTTATGTACAGGCAAAAGAACACGAATTCAAGAGCGTGCGCAACGTGAATAAAATGCTGGATTTGTTTGCCGCCTTGGTCTCTCGCCATTTGCTTGACACACCAGCACCTGAAAATGGAGAAGCGAAGAAGACAGTCACCAATATCTCGACAAACAGCCTGCAGTCGCGCGTGCTTGACGCTTTCGAGGAATGTGGCTCGTTTGCGTTTCATCCGGAAGTTCACACAAAAGTGCTGGATCAGCTCGTGGAATATGTGACGCTGTCATCGGCGAAGGGTCTCGTGTTCTTCACGCGGCACGCGTTAATTTCGTTGGCAAGGCTGTACGCAAGCGTGTCAATCCAGGCCAAAGAGAAACGTTTCTTGTCTGTACTCTTCTGCGTCCAGCCATTCTTGCGATTTGATACGAGTCACGACGCACCAGAATCGAGTCTGCCAGCGTCTCCTGGCAAGCCAATGACAGCAGCGCAGAAAGCAGAGACGCAGTTGTGGAAACATGCGCTGCGCGTGCTTCTGGTCGTGATCTCAAGCGGGCTTGTGGCTGTTCGGCTGGCTGAAGCTTGCTGGAGGCCTCTCCTTGAAACCATCACGTGTTTTGTCCAGCCTGATAAGGGCAAATTCCCGTTGTGTGTGCAGTCAGAAGAGGATGAAGTGTTGGTGTTAAGCGTGTTGGAGTGCGTGGTGGACAGTACTATCTCGCTGCTCGGCGATGGCAGCGACACGAAGTCTCACGCTGGTCAACAGTACAACGCGTTTATCAACGACCTGGTAGCAGTACTGTGCTCGGGTGTGAACGCGGTGGACCACAACAAGTCCATCATTCGGTGCTACGTGCGCCAGCTCAGCACGATGTGCATCCAGACAGTAGACCAGGAGCTAGCATTGTTTGCGCGTGCTCGACTTGTCGCGTGCTGCAGCACCGCGTTGGTACGCTTTGCCGATTTGAACAGCGCTATTCTCTCGAAACTGCAGTCTTCAGATGTGTCGAGCCAGCCACGCCCCTCGACATCATCAGATTCTGAGAGCGACATCGATTTCGTTGCAGCCCGCGAAAAGGTGGTGGTTCTGTTGACAAGCGCACTAGAGGTGGACATGCAGCCGCGTAGTATATTGGAAATGTACCCAGCACTGTGTGGCTGCATCTCCTCGTCCGATTTGGTGGTGCGCCAGCTTGTGCAGCAGCTGCTGTTGAATGGCCGGCTTTCTGAATTCCGCCTTGAGCTCATGGACATGTGGGAGCGTCGATCTAATTAGAATTCCATAAGCCCTGTCAATGTGCCAACCATAGAGGAATGCTCACCCCAGTGTTTTATGTGCGCAAGCACTGCGGCAGAACCAGTGGAATCCACCTCGGCACTCGATCCATTGAAAGGCCGAAGAAGCCGAATTGTGACCTTGGCGAAGCCGAAGTGACACATTATCCAGTGACTTCGTCGTTGACAAGCCTTGTCACTTCAGAGCCTGTGTAACGCAGTGAACGGCACCACAGTCTGAGAAATATGTCCTTTTGTTCGGCGCCACCGGTCCAATGACTTTCTTGTCGTTCCAGCCCGCGTTCGGTCCGTTGCCTTACAGCCCGTCCACATGAGCAACAATGAATATGGTGCTGCGTCAAGGATGCAGGTCGAGTTTGTGGAGTGTGGAGTCCTGCAAGTGAGCAAAGCACTAATGTGCTGAGAGTCTGTAGGTGAACTGGACATGCTATCTTTAAGATGCCATCGCCCACGTCACGACACAAGTCGATGTCTTTGTTCAAGGGACGGAAGTGATCCCATGCTCAGAGCGATCCGGTATCTTGTGAACCTATCAGTGTGTCTTGGCCGATGCTGTGAAGAGTGACGGACTTCTCGAGCAACACTCTTGGCTACAGCGGCTTTCCACGCTCCTACTTCTACTCAGTACGAAGGGGCAGCTTACTGCGATTGCTCGTAACCGCTCCGTCAATTTTGACCTGCGCAGCTCGTTTAGTCTGTTTTAGCTCTCATGTGTGACGAGGTACGCGCTGTAGCACATTGGAAGAGACGCTTGGACGAAGTGAAGTGCGCGGATATGTTTGGGGGAAAGTAGGTCACAGTCGACCGACCATGCTATGGACTGCAGGCAAGCCACTAAGATGTTGTTTACCGTCATGTTCCTCGACACTTCGATGCAGCCTAGCGTTCCGAGGCTCCCTCGAGCACATATCTTTCCAATCGATCAGTCGTGTGCTCAACGTGGTGAGCCCGTCGTCGTATGACTTCCGACCCTACATCACGGGCGGTGAGAGACCTTTGTAACGTCTGATGGTATGCTAAGGATGGAATTCGGAATCAATTGGTGTCAACTGCGAGACAACTAGCATACCACAAACTCAAAGATAGATATGCAGTGACTGCTGAATGAGGAAATTGGCGTGGATTCCGGAATGAAAAGCAGTACGTTGCCTTTTAGCGCATGCTCGTCCACGCTATTATAGATCATCCTTGCTCCTCACGTGTGTGATGCGTCCGGTCTAGCGCTTCTCGTATGGACATGCGTATGTAACATATGCGTTGGCCATCAATCCCGATTTTGTCGTGTGATGCTCAGTACATCCCATCAGAGGTCACACGCAAGCAAAAGGTATCAATGTTGTAGAAGAGCTGCAGCCGTGCAGTTCGATTGACACCAACAGCTGTCACTGTCCAGATCATATTCATAATGACAGCGCTAGTGCAATGTGTACGCGATAGTATCCTTCGATCGCTACAATAACAAGTGTCCAGAAGAAGACACGAGAGAACTAACGGATAGAGGAAGTAGTGCACTTCGGTGATCAGTTTTCCACATCCATGTAATGCTCAGCTCACTGGTGCTACACGTGTCTACGTCAATTAGTCAAGAAAGAATCACCTATCGACCAAGAGGACGCCGGCGTGATTGGAGCTTTGAACGAAGGGGCATGCCAAGAATTGCTGAGAAAATCGCTATCGCCAAAGGACGTACCCGCTACGAGAGCCGAAATGGTGATCAGTCCAGACTTGATTGGTGAATGGAGACGCAATGCTTCACTTGCAAATGGATGCCCAAGCGACCCTTAAAACACATGATGAAAGATTGAAAGGGGCTGAAGATGCAGCGATAATGCTGCTATAGTAGTGACAAGGTGAAGTATGATAAATTCAATCTTTGTAAACGCAAATGCGTGGTATGCTGTGTGAGGCGCAGCGTTTCGTGTTTTGTTTGACTGAGAATAAGGCAGTGGTGGTCTGTATGTAATTTGCACCAACGTTAATGCAAAAGGCTATATATAATCTACGGGATGATGAGATGGCAAAGTAAACCAAGGAGGACATACTCACGTACGTATATACATTTGCTAAGTGGCACCACTTCGTTAACTAATGAGGGCTTCACTTGTTTTTGCCGCCGATAGCCAACTGTGAAAAAAACGTCGGTGCGGATCCACACTCGTAAATCTGCGTCCATATGTAGGACGAAGCAACAAGATTTAAGTCATGCATGTTGGTGCTGTGTCGTCACATGACAGTTATAGCCAGACACGACAGTTCAGGTGCATTTTTAACAAGCTTCCGCGTTCTTGTTGATTTATAAGAAACTTCTTTTTATCTGCGTGTTGACGTGCACACTCAAGAGCGTGAGCATCATTTATGTACGTGACGAAAACTTCCGTAACTTTAACAATACCTACATCGTCAAAGAAGCGCATTCTTTCCGGATATCATGTTCGTATCGTTGACGACAGAGTTCGCGGCAGTTTGGGCTACAAGAGCATTCCTATAAAACCTTAGACGACTTGGGAATTTGACAAAAGTGCAACTTGCAAACTGTATTCGAAGGGTGCATGCTTGCGATACGGTAAACGTTACAGCGTACAATTAGCTGCGTTATGTGTACGCTACTTCTTATACCGCTCATGGCTTATCGCCACACGAAACGGTTGGCGTCCTTGCCAGCTATGCCCAACTGCTACTCGGAAGGCGTCGCTTTGTAGGCGAGACGTAAACACTGGCCTTTATGATACTGGCAATTACTGCGCCAGCAGCAACAACAGTAAATTCAGAAGCACTGAATAATAATGTTTATAGTGCTGGTGCTGGTGTTGGAGTGGCTTTTTATTGTGCTTGAAGACGACAGGTTCGGGAATTGTGACCTGTTTGCTGGTAAACGATATTGCTGGCGTCGAACAGGAGCGTTTAACCAGCTGCAACATCCTCGAAATGCGATAGGGGTAATTATCAGATAGTTGATGGCTAAATATCTGTTCCCTATAACAAATATAATGAACGATAGCGTTAAAAGAGGTCCTATAGACATCAAGTCCTCCAGTCCTCCAACAGACGTATATATTGCCTTTTTACCGACATAACCATCAGCGGAGACTCGTATTGTATGTAGACCATCGTCAATCCTTTCTGGCTCAGTGCACCCTCAATGTAAGGTGGTGGTAAATTAGGAAGAGATTAACGTCGTGGAAACTTTACAAGCAATTCGTTATGTGCCAATCCGATGCGCGTGTCCAGTACTGCGGCCGCAACAATTGCACCACGGTGGACTTTCAGCCGGAAACTGGGCTTGTCTTCGTTCGTTATGGCTGCTGTTGCACCGGCAGAAGCCCCGCTTGCAACCGCAGCGTAACTGATTTTTCTACCCAACACATACCATCGACGACGTCAAGCAGGCAGCATCGTGAACGGAAATTTGTAGCCGGCTAGAGGAAGCAAATTCAGGATAATGATGAGCTAGTGGCTGAACATCTACTCGGCAACACAAGACAGAACTAATTAATCTTTTCTTGCGGATCAAATGACTCGATTGACATTCTTAATACATGGCTTGGCTCATTTTGTAGCATAATCGCTTGAGCAACGCTACATTTGACGCGTTCGGTTAGGTACATCGACTACGATCAATGCTGGTCTCATCTTGTAAAGTCTATCTCTGTAGATAGATAACTAGCTTTTCATCATTTATCATCACGCAAAACATTATGCGGTCAAGGTACATCAAGAAAGTTACAAAGATATCGTGTGGTTTGTTGGCGACGAAGACAAGCTTCCCGATGGTGTCACACATGTGCATGTATATTACGCTGCAGTACCCTTTCTTGGTAATTTGATAATTGCATTATATCGTACATACCTGTCCCACGTACAACATCGTAATCATGTAATACATGTGCGGAAAAAATTAAAAAATGCCCCAGATAATCACGAAAATAAAAAAATGCCCCACGTCCTAGTAAATCCAAGTTAATGTGGCACACACAAAACCACGCGTCCTTAATCATTTTCGTTTTTCCATTTTACGGCCGTGACCAACACCCGCCCTGTTTGGGAAGCCGAGGAGAGGGTTCTGCCGCGGGTGTGCTGATCTTGAAGCTACCAGTTGCGGACTTTTCGTGCTTGCAGCCACCATTTGCAGGCGCAGGCGCGAGACATAGGTACGTAAACGCGTCTTTGTATCATCGGTCGCGGCCGCAAACAGTCAGTCAGCGCTAATGTTGTTTATATTAATGTTATTTCTTTTGCAATTGTTGATGATGTTGCTGCTATTGTTGGTGCTGCTGCTGTTGTTGTTGAATATGATGCTGTTGTTGTTGTAGATGATGCGGTTGCTGTTGGTATTGCTCTGTAGATGGTGCTACTGCTATTGCTACTGATGTTGATACTGCTGTTGTTGTTGTAGGTGCTGCTGTTGCTATTAATGTTGTTTTACTTGTGGGATTGCATTCCCATCCTGCTTATCAGTTTTGATACTTAAAAACACATAATCATATCAATAGACCCCAAAGAAATTATCATTTCTGTTTAGCTATTATTGATGGCTATAACGTCTGCAGACTTCGTCGTATGCAGGCCTATCTCAGGGAGTAAACGTGAGATGATGTTATAAGCGCATTCGTCAAAATAGGACGTGGGGCATTTTTTTAATTTCATGATTGAATGGGGGCACATTTTTATTTTCCCTACACGTGCGCATATAGGTGCAAGTTATATCTCGTCGTTAGGTATGTTACATATTGTAGCAAGGCAATGCCAATCACTCGTAGCTATTTTACTCGTGAAAAACCTACGTATCGTGCGTGAGTATCTGTCGTAGCTGTAGTGAAGGCGTCGTGGACTGATCTATCGTGCTCATAAAAGCAAAGGTTGTTCATAGCTTGCGAGCGCGGATTGTAAATATCCGTGTTCTCGATTTCCGAGCGCGAAGGATCGGAGAAAACGAACAAGGTGAGTGCACCGACCCTGATTTCCTATCGCTATGTCTGGACG